TAGCTTATCATATAAAATTAGCTGGGTTATTTATTTTATATTGCAAATTCTAAATTAAGAGATATTAAAATTTCAAACAGCCTTAAGAAACAAAACGTTTATGGAGCCCTATAATTCATCAGACAGGTTTTTGTTTTTGTGTTTAGATGTTGCTAAAAATGATTGTCACAATTGTGTACCAGGTGTCCGTTTCACAAGATGACTAGATCCTAACGGTGCTAGGGTTAACAGAATTCTTAAAGAGACTGTAGAGTATCTCTATACTGTTCAGTTTCCAGGGTTAACGCAATTGACTAGTGGAAATAATCAACAAGCATAAGCCTAATTAGAATTGACTGGCTGACCACCTGAAGAGATTTTGGATCTCACAAGGTCAGATGAGTTAACGAAATGTTTGAACCATATAAAACTGTGGAACCAGATGGTATATTTATGGAGGAAATGCCCTTCTGAGAATGATGCCGAACTAGGAGTGTGGATGTGTATGAATGGAGAATGAATGAATAAAGGTAGTGCTTCGGAAGTGATGCCGGCCTTACAGCGGCCATTCCGCTTCCGGATCGCTGGATGACAGAGGAGGGTCTGGTTTAGCAGGTAGGCGTTCAGCGTAGACTCGGCGACGAGAGGGCATTTTAAAGTACCTCGGGAACTATCGCCGGGAGTACGAAGAACGAATCCTGCACTAAGGTCAGTCAGGCGGCGTCCTGGACTGAGATGTCTTTCGAAGATTCCAGACCCCCCCCCCCCCTCTATAAAGACGAAAAAAAAAAGATGGTATATTTACCAGGATACTCCATGAGGGATTGGATATCATTATGGGCCCCCTGATTTAAATATATAGAACTGACCATGCTCTTTTAAATATATAGAACGTTGCAAAACAAACAGACGACGAATGCACTGGCATGGGGATTTTTAGGCAGAAATTTGTATATCAGAGAAAGGTGGTACACTGTAACAAAATCAAACCTTAACTGTCTCTCATTTTTATCTTATTTCTATTTTAAATCTTAAATCTTATTTTTATTTTATATGGAGTATTAAGAAATGGTTTTCACGAAGAAATTTCTGCATAGACGAATTTGTATAACGTGGATACAAATCCCTATGCCAGTACATTTCGGTGCATTCGTCGTCTGTTTGTTTTGCAACGTTTAGAAAACATATATTTGGGCCAAATCCTGAATTCAATTTGGGCAGGACACATCGTCAGATTATCAGACAACCGATGGATAAAAACGTATTTAGAGTAGAGGCCAGGGCAAGAAGCAATACGGAGCAGAGGACGAACACCAACAAGATGGACTGAAGACCTGAAGCGTATTAGCAATAACTGGATGCAAGCTGCACAAGACAGATGGAAAGAGCTGAGGGACACCTATACCAGCGGTGGACGCATACAGGTTGATGATGATGGTTTATGATCATCCCGAGACTTGTAGCAAAAACTAATTAAAGGCCGAATTATGTATTGAATAGTCACACAAATACTACTGCAACTATACTTGAGGAATCCATCTTTCAGATAAACTAAGATATAATGACACCAGAACTTATTTTCACTGAGAAGATTAACACACTTATATCACCTAAAGAATAGAAAGTCCCAAACATTATTGGGGAATTAATATGATTCACTGATGGATCTAAAACTGCCCATGGGGCTGGATTCGGAGTCATTGGACAAATCTGTAATAAGAACAAATCTTACAACCTAGGTTAATATACACAACTGTATTCCAGGCTGAAGTTTTTGCTTCGGTGGTCTGCATTAATGAAATCCTTAATGGAGACTCTAAAGAAAAGATAATCAAGATTTATACAGATAGCCAAGCATATGGTCTGGTGGTAAAGAACTCACTAACCAAATCAAAACTGGTGAGTGACTTCCTGAATAACCTGGAAAAAAACAACAAAGACAAAGTGTCTAAAATTACCAATGAGGAAACTGTTAGCTGTCGTTAAAGCCACAGGACTCATTGGCGTTTAGTGAAAAAGAAAACAGTGTATGGTACAAAGGTCTTATGATCAAGTGTCAGAGATAATAAGTCTCGCTTCAATAAAGAAGATCTTCGTTTATAAACTGTGGTAGATAATAAGGTATTGAAGATTTGCTGCATTGCATTTGTTGGAATTTCGCTGTGCGCCATTTTAAAAAAATCTTATATTCACTGTATTCTATTATTGTACTGTATTATTTGATGCCTACATTTGAAGTATGAGAAAGAATTAAATATTTCGCCCAGTACCATTTCGAATAGTAACAAAACAAAGTTTAGTAAAACATAATATAAAATATATAAATACATTGATCGAATACTTTATACGAAAGAAAATTTTATATACATCTCCCGTTTAAACTTTTCTGAGAGTTTTTGCATTCTTCATTTCCGCAGATTCCACAGAAAAATTTTAGCATGGTAGCAGGTACTACCTTTTTGGACCTAAGTTTTGACACATCCCTGATTGGAAAATATAGAATCGCCAGTGCAAGAATATGAGCAACATACAACAACAAAATTTATATAAAACAATGTTTTGTAGGAATAATTCTACTTCTAGATATGTATACCACGCTATATTTGCGAAGCTTAGCTTCAGTGAAACACCTATTAAATCATTTTTATCTCGGTAAATTAGATCAAATGCACTGCGCACGGAATATATTTTTAAATAACCTGTCACCACACAGAAAAAACAGACAAATATTAATAAGTACAATAGATTACAAATATATAAATATGTGAATCATCGTATTTCAAAAACAAAGTTTATAAATTTTCATTTAATAATAACAATAACAAGTTCTTTTGTTTTAATAATTAGTTCATGTTACATTTTTAACATACACAACATGCAATGGAAATTTTTAGACCAACACCACAATTTGTACCACATGCATCAATCAATCTAATATTCATAACACCGAACACCAAATACAGAAAATAAAACAAAATTTCCAATATTTACATTTACTTGCAACTTATTCCATAAAATCAATAGTATACTGAATTTAAAGCAATGTTTTAGCCTTTTTGTGTTTGTAAGTTGTTGTTGTAATCGCCATCCAGGAAGAACCAACGCTGTGAACCTTCAGTATTTTCGTACGTTACCAATATTTTTAAAAAACTGTCGTGTCGTGATCAGAATTAACACGGTTCGGATTGAAGCGTTCGGCAATGAGGATTTGCGCTGGTTCTTCTAAGCAGGCGGGTACACTTTCTACCTGCCCAATTGACTATTAGACGAGCGGCTTACCCCTATAAGCGAAGCATAAACCGACTATTTTTTTGCATTTCTACCCCACTAAACTTTGTTAAATTTTTTATATTTTTTCACGGTTGCGGCGATACAGTCGAGCGGCACTTTTTAGGAAGATAGAAACCACTTATCCTAGTCAAAATATTCATAATTTTACTTAAAGTTTTAAATATTATAAAGCTTTTTGTATAATAGTAATTTATTTAGAAGTTTTTTTTTAATTCCAAAAATCACTTCCGATTCCATTCCAACAAGTATGACATTTTTTTAATAAAAAATTGCAAATAACTCGAAAAGCAAGCATTTTTCGAAAAATTACCAAGACAGACAAGATATTTACTTCTATAAGATACGCCTAAAAAATTTTTACTCTAAATTGTTATTTGTTAATAACAATTTCCGGCCCACTGTAAAAAATTAACATATTTGAACTTGAAAAAATATATAAAATCTAATCAAAAAGGTTTGATGCGGTAGAAATGCAAAAAAATAGTCGGTATACTTCGTTTCCAAGCGTCTTTTTAGGGGTAAACTGCTCGTCTATATAAAAAGAATTATTTATTTTCTAGTAAAAATGTTCTATCATTGACAAATATAATATTTAGGTATGAGTTTCGTAATCGTATTCAACCGTATATATTTTCAATAAAATTATATTTTAACTGTTAATTGGTAGTAGTTAACATTGTATATTGATACATACATATATATATATATATATATATATATATATATATATATATATATATATATATATATATATATATATATATATTACTTCACTTTACTCTCTAGCAATTTGACTCCAATTCATGCAAAATGCAGCGCTAATACATTGTTACTGTAGAGTTTGTGTGACGAGTTTCTTTTTAATGAAATTAATGTCTTAATGTGCCATTAATGATCCTATCTACGATCTCTCTAACAATTTAACGATGTGTGCATTCTTTATTATTGAGATACTAGATAATCAAAATCCTTTCGATATCCATCCCGGACGTGGTAAGATACTCTTCAGTAGGTATACAGACTTCAGTACTTTTTGATATTAACCAAAACAAAAAGCTAAAATGAGTAACATCGAATGAAAATAATTCATTTCGGTGTTGATAAGCGAATGGAAATATATGGTAAAATATGTTTTCAAAACAAAACTAAAATACAATCGGTCAGACACTTTAAAAACGCATACTAGAACACAAAAGAGATTTAATTTCACAATATGCAGCATTTATCTCTTAAAACATTACATATACAAAACATAGAGTAGTAAATGTAACAATTTGGGAATGTAGGTGAAATGCGATAGACGCAGAGTTTCACTGAATAAAAACGATTACGTTATAGGAATCCGAAGGTAACACATAAGCAAGCATCAGAATTTTAAAAATTTATATTATTATATTATTTATTTCATATTTACACAACTGGTTATTTATAAAAAATTGAAATGAAAAAGGCTTACGCTATTGCTATTTGAACGCATGGTTACAGTCATAAACATAATTTGATTAATAAACACTACATTTAAACTACTTATTTAACTGGGTTTTTACCAAAACAAAACTAAGCTTTTAACATTTAAGACAAGCTTGTAGCCTATTTAAACGACACTACAGAATTTAAACAAGCAGATACTCAACAAATATTTTGTTTGGGGATATATACAGAAACATCCATACTTAACTCGTCTACTTCAATATATATAAAAAAATTATTAAAATAAAAGAACCTAATTTGTCAAAAGTTTATTAATAATTTTGGCTTATAAGAATAAAATGTGATTTGAGTGAACAAGAAATGCAATGTTTTTATTAAATGAATGATTTTTCGTAATTACCCATTTTTTCTGTGTATACAGGTTCAGCATTCACTTCCGTCAATGATAGATTCATAGGTCTACATGATTCATGGCTTCATAAAGAACTTTTGTAAATAAAAATCCAAACAAAATTGGAAGAACGTTCCTAGAAAAAATGCCAAAATAAAAATAACTATGGGAATAATACTAAAAACAAGCGATACAACTCTACAAAATATACAATTTTGAGATAACGTTACTATTTAATATTAAATCTTAATTTTTTTTTCTTTTTATTTACTGTTGTAAAATGAGTTAATTATTGCGCTAGTACGTGTAGTGTATTTAATTACGCACAATAATTAATTAAAATATCATAGTGTCATAGTTTCTGGCATATCAGTTCTTCAAATGTAACATTTTTTAAAACGTTATATTTGAGACAACTTAAATTAATTGTAAAGGAAATATTATTTGAACTCAAAAATAATTCAATATGAATTAGGAATGGTGTATGACATTCAATCAATTAGAAGCTTAACAAAACTGTACCTCAAAATAAATCAATTTCAAACGGAATATCAACAGACTGTATAAATTACCGAAAAATTTTAAATTGATATAATTGAGATCTACAGAAATGAATCAGTTTGAAGTGGAGTTAGAAAGAAAGTGGTAATTATATTGTGCAATCGTATAAGTAGGTAGGTATGTTATAATATTTTCAGAAGCGTCGGTAATTTTTTGCCTTCTAACTATGCGGGTCGGCTCTTTTATTTACAAATCGCCATAAATTTTTATTTTGAGTTATACCAATATTAATTCTCTTTATAGACATGTCAGATTACCTTCCAATTTCGTCTTCCTGCATGCATGTGACATACCTGGAACCTCATCGCACTCAGCACAGACAGAGAACGGAAAATTCGTAAAAATGCGTTAAATTAATACAGATATCTAGAGGTTTTGAATTTTGAAAAAAACATTTGAATTTTTAAAGAGCTATTGTTACTCTAACTTTAAATGAATTATCCGTAATACCTATATAATTTTATCTTAGTAATATAGGGTTGTCATCTATGTAAAAAGACCTCATAACTTTTGGGCTATAGCCACGTGTGGATTTATTTCCTTGCGGGTGCCTATGGTGGTAATTATGGAAATTATGACATTAATAAGATTACCGTTAATTTCAAACGAGGTAAAATTTGGGATCCTTGAGCAAAAGAAATTAAAATTAAATATAACATCCGAGAAATTAACTATTGAATATATTATTAATAAATTTAGAAAATAGATATATTTGAATCAGCTATCAGGATATCGATAAGAGATTGACAATTCTTATATATAATGTTTTCTCAATTTTATGTATACATCACAGACATTTAAAATACTAAGAATGTTAGTCACAAAGTAGTTAGGTAAAACACACACACACGCACAGACACACACACACACGCACAAAAATTAAGTGGTTAGGTATTATAAAAATCGTTAATGACATTGCAAAACAAAACCTTCAAACTCTGATACTAACATTCCATTTTACGTACTGCGTTTTGTTCAATACAATCTTTATGATTTTGAATGCTTTTAGTAAACACCCTACTGAGCATCATTTCAAGCCACGTGCTGCTGATATAAGCGTGCTGTTCTTGAAAAACTTCCACTTGTTTATTACAATCCCTAATCAACAACATAAACATAAACCAATTATCTACATTATTTGACGATTCGAATTATTATGGTTATGTTTACCTTAAAAATTATTGCTTATAGCACCTAGAGTGTGAACCGAAATAGTTACAATGTGGGCTTCGAATATTTTCCAATAATAAACTTAACGTAACTCTAAATTGTGAATTTATGTACGATATCTTCAGAAAATATAAGTGTCTGAACTCTGTACTTTAAAGTTTAAACCGTTACAAAGTCAACTAAATTGTAATATCTTATTATTGTTGTCAACAATTAGTATATCGTTTTATCAGTATAATTATACTTTTTACTGAAAGAAGCATGTAACTGTTTTAGTAGGTGGTTAGGATCGGGCTTACTTTCTAGTGCTAGTTATCGTCGAAAAGAAAGTCAATATAGTCAGATAAGAAAGTCAAATAAGCAACAGTTATAATTGAAATACGACAAAATCAAACAAACTCATCATTTTCCTTCCATAGAACATGTTTTGGTAGCAAGCGAAAATCCAAAAGTCGACTGCATCGAAATAAGATTACTTTATAAATATAAATACTTGTCATGAAATCCAAATTGTCAGGGGCAGCCAAATTGCTGAACAACAAAGAAGAATCACTTTAGCATGGACGGCATATGGAACTTTAGCAGACATCTTCCAATGTGTGCTTACAGTCATCATTTACGGCTCTGATACACTTTTCTTAAACCAGACTACAGCGACCAAACTCAGAGAATGAAATGCTCGCTACTTGGCCTGACTCTCAGACACAGGGTTAGAAACGAGGAAATAAGAAGACAGGCGTCACAGCTGTCATACAACGCATGGCATGGCTGAAGTGGAATGGGTTGGGCCATAAGGCCAGAATGAATGACGGACGGTGGACACAAAAAATTACAGTGTCGAAACCACGAGCAGATAGACGAGACAGAGGTACATCACCTGCACGATGGACGGACAACGTCAAAAGAATCACTGGGAAGTGGCTACAGGATGCTCAAAACCTACAGAACTGGAAGAAATTACGGAAGGCCTAAGTTCACCTTTGGACGCAGAAGGCTGGATGATGATGATAGCCCATTCAATTATCTTTACTGTCCGAGAAACCACTACACTACAAGACTACCTTATATCCTGGGAGGTAAATCCAACCCAAAAATAAAGTATTCTCTTCTCGACTATCAAACAAACCGTTTTTTATATGTACTTATCTAACAAACAAATAATAATCGTTAAGTCTAGAAAGTTAGTCAAACCATCGGGATGCTTGGTCATCTACATGTATGCTCTATAATATCGTCTCCTCATTCCTTAGGCCCTTGTCAGGGCGTGGTGACACTCTAAATATTAACTTGCTGTCTCGATTGGCTGCCATCCTGTGCCATATGGACGGTTTCATGTACGGCTTCCTATCAGAGTCTTCATATGGTCTGTACATGGTGTTGGAGATCTTCTTGGTCGTCGGCCTTCTACCTTTCCTGTCTACCAATAGTTTCATGGTCCCGTTCTTTTAGCCATATGGTCGAAGTAAATTAGGTATGCTCGGCTTACTTTTTTTAATAGCCTGTCTTTTATATGAAGGTCTTCTTCTTGTATGTAGGAACGGGAAAAATAGTACCGCATAACCTACTAATAAACGAGCTACAAAAAATAGGAGAAAATCCTGTTTCTTCTATCATCATCATCGTTGGCTCTACAACCCTGGGTGGGTCTTGGCCTGTTCAAGAATTACTCTCCATTCCCCCTTATCTTTCGCCCTGGCTTTCCAATTTCTGACCCCTAGATTCCTCAAGTCATCTTCGACTTAGAGTTTTAAATCCAGATCTTGGCCTGCCTCTCTTCCTGGTTCCTACTGGCTCTTGATATAATATTCATCTTTGGGGGTCTCCAATGTCCATTCTTTCAAGGTGTCCTAGCCACCTTAGTCTATTAATTTTAATAGACCGGACGATGTTGCATTTTTCATACAATTGATACAACTCAAAATTGTAGCGCCTGCGCCCTATCCCGCTTTCTTGTACCCCTCCGTATATGTGTAAGTATTCTTCTTTCAAAGCGGCCTAACAGTTCTTCGTCGCTTTTTACCATAGTCCATGTCTCTGACACGTATGTCAGGACAGGTTTATTATGAGTTTCATATATTAGTAATTTGGTTTTTCTGCTAATTATGTGTGATGTTAAGAACTGCTTTAGCCAAAAGTAAGCTCTGTTCGCCAGGTATATTCTTCTCTTAATTTCTACGCTTACTAGGTTGCTGTTATTTAGTTGTGTTCCAAGATATACAAATTCCGAGACCCCTTCGAATGTGTGTGCTTCTGTCACCAGATCTTGTGGTGCCGATATTTGTGCACTGTTCATGACCTTCATCTATTTTGTTTTTTATACGTTGACCTGCAGTCCCATTGCCTTCGCGGCTTTTTCTAATATTGTTCTGAAGCTATTTTCTTGTGGCATTTTAAATTAATTACTATTTAATTGGGAATAAGCCACAATTAAAGGTTAAAATACGTTTATTGACGTTTCAATTTCCACCTCAGAAATATTTCTCAAAATACAAACAATAAATTTTCTAATGTTTCAAAACTGTATCAGGTCTCTTTTTGTCCGTGTTACTATGTCAATATCATCTGCGTAGGCCAATATCTGTACAATTCTATTGATGATCGTGCCTCTGGTTGTTATGCCCGATTTCTCTATTTCTTCTGTTTCTTCTATAACATTCCTAAAAATTAGTGCTTCTATCTCGGAATATAACCACATCTTAAGTTGACAAATGTTTATCAATCCTCACAACATAACATTACCAGAAACATTTACACTTTATTTTGATAACACAGCCTGGTATGTTACAACTGCAAGAAGTCGACCAACACAGCAAAACTCTACTAACCCTTAATCTAAAAGAAAAATCGTTATTTAGCCTAACGAATATGGCTCTCAAAATGAACAAATTTCCATTTCTAATGATTTGCAGGCACCAAATACAAAAGACCAATTAAATATACATACATCGCCAATCATACAAAACTTCTTTGGCGAAATCATTATACTTAAAGCGGACCGACCTCATTTTTTCTTACATTTTCCTACACCCAAGGCCAAACCAAAAACTAAGAAAGGGTACCCCTCTTTAAGATAGGCAAAATGCCTTCACACTCAGAATTCATTTTTTTTTACGTTTTACGTCATTTAAATTATATGTAACTTATAAAAAATCCTGATTTAGTCGATTTTGAAGTTTATAAACTGGAGAAAAATCCCCAAAAACCCACTAAAAAACCACTAAAAACCAGTTTTTTTAGGTTTTTAAAGGTGGTGCACCTGAATGAAAAAAATCAGAAATGTGGTTGTTGTTTTAATACACAAAAGAAAAAAAACTAGATCAGCAGCCATCTCTAAACCAAAGTTATATGCTTAAAAAATGCATTTTTAGGTCATGTACACTAAACTTATGGGCCTATAAAAAAGATTTGTAAAAGCCTCAACATGCGCGTACCTCTTTTTGAAATTTTTAAATTGATTGCAACCCACCGAACCCATTAACTATCTGAATTTTGCGTGTATTTTAGTTGTTAGGAGTCATACTTTATCCTAAATATGCGTTTTAAAGGCATTCTTACAATATTCCAAATAGTTTAAAATAACCACTTTGTAATAATTTGATTTCAGAACACTCATTGGTTACTTAAAATGTATTAATATGCTACTCAAAATTTAATAACTTGTAAGTTGCTTTAATTCTGTAAGTATATCTACATTTATAACTATTAATGATCAAATGTATTAACAGTTATAAATATCTTCATAAAGTCAGGATGATTTTATTTGACAACTTGTGAGATTATTTACTAAATAATTCTTATATACTATGTCGCTTTTCTATTCACCAAACCTAAAACCACGAATTGTCCGTCAACAATAGAACATATTAAACAAAGACAACAATTAAAACAAAAGAAAAGATCGGAAATTATAAGTAAATTTGCGCTATTAAAAAACACTGATTGATCGTATCCGATTTTCTCCTATTTTTAGGTACATCGTGTTATCGTATTTGTATAGTTATTTAAAACTTGCCCTTACTTCAGGGCAAAACTTTAAGCTCGTTTTTTATCATTTATTTTTTTAATTACCCTCCAATTTGTACAACCATACTAGATATATAAACTGGAATATGATCCCAATGTTTTTTAATGAAAGGTGAATAATTTTTAACAATTTTTATTGGTTATATAAATAGGTAAACATCAACATTAACTTAAGTCAATTCGTCAAATAATTAATCAACAAATGCATTATTGATGCCATAAATAAAAATTTTCAATAAATCAAAATTTCATATATTCAAAAATCATGCTACAGTAACACTAAGCATCACAGGCAAATAATATTACAACAATTTGTTTTTATTTCAAATTAATAATTAATAGTGAAATTTGTGTCACAAGAATAAAATGTATACAATACTAAACTTCTGATTTAACTTTGTATATTTTAAATAAATATAGTACCTACCGGTCACAATTCTCATTCAGATTTTGATTTTCTATCTCAGTGAGAGTATCATCTATAGCCGCCATGGCTTGCTCAACATTATCTATATTTTCAACAATGCCGCTATCTTCTGCAAAATGCTGTTCAGGCCATTTAGCCGCTCCGGCATTATGTACTATAACTCGCTGTTCTATTTGCTCTACTAAAGTAGTTTCAGTTTCTTCTACACTAGCTACAGCCTCTAAAAGCTCTGGACCGACACCATCCGTTTCGTCCCTCTCTGGTATTGGTGGATGTGTTCTCACTGGTGAAGATTTATCTTCTAACATCATTTCTTCTAACGTGTTGGATACTGCAGATTGACTTTGTGTCATGCGAGAATGCTCTCCGGTGCTGGAAGGCTGATATAGGCTCTGCGAGACGGAGGTATCACGTGATAATGTAGAGATTGACGGCCGTACTTTTACTCGAAAGAATTTGGTACATTTTGGTACTTTATATCTATTGTCAGACTAAAAAACAAAAAAAATGCATAACTATATATAATTCTATTAATAACATTTATAATTTGGTTCAAGGGTGAATTAAGATTGTATAATTTACACGTCTGTGGATGACGGAATTCGACGATATCGAATGTGTATTTTTGCAAAATATATACCGATTATGTCATAAAGAACTATATACCAAGTTTCAAGACTCTTCTCATTTTCAATAGGATTTTTTTTAGGTTGAAAAATTGGACATGTTTAATCTTTAATAAAACTGCCAAAGAAAGTACATTTTTCAACAATTATGGCTTTTGAGAAAAAAGTAAAGTAAATATAAGTAAAGATCAGTTGGGTTCATAAGAAACAAAGTTTATTTGAAAGACTACATCAACAACTGAAGTTGCAACCCTTACAATATTATTTGAAAAGGTAAGTGAAAACGGGTTGGTTTTCGAACTTGACCTTGTTTCGCATCTTATTGAAAACCTCTAGAACACAGATTTTTTATTATAAAGAATATTGTAATTAAGGCTGTTTTAACGGTGCACCAAAACCTGGGACAGTGTTTTCTCTGTTTCTCTGTTTACCGACAAAATGTCTCGAAATTTGGACACGTTATTCGAAATTATGTTGCCTTTAAAATCATGGTTTTACTTTTTTTATTTTTTTGAAACTTCTGTTGAAAAATTGGATTATACTGTTTAACGTTCTATTATAACCAAACTTCTTACGCCCATCACTTGAAAGAGTTTTTTTTCTGTAATCGTTGATTTTTGTTTCACCTTTCAATGTCCAGTAATAATCGAGAAAAGCGTGTTCCAACTTTGAAGAAAATTGCTAAAATACTAAAATCTAATAGTGAAACGTGTTACTCATCTTTATAGCTTAGTTTCATCGTTATCGCCTTCATTGACGTCAAATCTCATGAACGTACGGTCAGTTAGTTCGTGTTAAAACTAATATGAATGGAGAATAATGTATTTGTTGTCATTAAACTACCCGTCGGCCGGCGCCGCTGAGTAAAGATGGTCTGGCGCAAGCAGTGTAGAAAAGTAAGTGATACGCCCATTTCAAATCGCAGTGTGCTTAAAATGCTAAAACAGCCTTAATGGATAATACTTTTAAATGATCCCAATTGGAAATCAAAAAGTAAAAAAATATATTTTTTATTTAAATTCATTGCGGTTTACTCACATAATATAAAATAGTCAGTGACAGTTTTATGAAATATTTTATAAATACAATTAAATACTTGTAAAGCAAAATAGAATTGGCAATTCTAAACTATTTTTTTGGTTATAATATATTATATAGAATATAGTAGATATTTCAAGGTAATATATTATATATGACAAAAAAACGTACTTTCCCTTGGAAAACATATGTTTTACTTGGATTTATTCTTTCATACATTTGTTATGAAAAGTATAGAGCAGCCGTGAAAAATCTTAATTGGACTACGTCTGAGATGAAAATTTACTCATTTAGATAGAATTAGATGGAAACTATTCTGGGAAAACATTTTAACCTTGAAATTGAACGTTTGTGTCACATTAAACACAATATGATTCGCTATTTCTATTGGAAATTAACCTCAATTCCACTTTAAAATACGTTTATTTTGACGTTTCGAATATTAAATGAACAGAACAATATTAAAAAATTAATAAAATCAATTTTGTTCAAATGATATTTTCTTGTGATATTATAGTTTTATAATTTCTATAGAATTAGGATTAACCACAAAAATTGACACTATTGTGTTTGGCATTTCGGCATCCAAGTTCGACGTTAATTTAAAAACAAATACAAAAATTAAAAATAGCCTTTCTGTGTAATTCCAAATGTAGAGTTTATAAGACGAAATTGCAATATTAGTTATTATCATTATCATCTTGGTGTTAGAGGGCCTCGACCTTCTCAATTTTTCTACGCCATTCTGTTCTGCCCCTTGCTTGAATTTTCCAGTTGCCGACTCCGATCTTCTCGGCATCTTGTGTTACCCCGTCCATCCACCTCAGCTTTGGTCTACCTCGTCTTCTCATTCCCACAGGTTGCGCTGTTTGAATGTTTTTTATCATGTTCGATTCAGGGGCCCGAGCTACATGTCCTGCCCACTGCAGGCGGCTCGCTTAATTATAGTGGTAATATCTATCCAAAGTTATATCTACGCCTCCATATTCCGTTCTCACAGACCGCTCCGAATATCTTGCGTAGCACCTTTCTTTCAAAAATCGATAGAGCGGATTCATCAGTTTTAGTTAGTGTCCATGCCTCTGATGCTTATTTGAGAACGGGGACTATCAGTGTTCTATACAGCCTTATACGAGTTTTTTGAGACATACGTGACAGAAGCTAAGTACTTTGATAGACCATGATAACACCTGTTTGCAATTATTATTCACCTTTTTATTTCCTCAGATGTGTTATTATTGGGGTTAACCGATGTCCCTAGATATATGAACTCTTTGACTGCTTTGAAGTTTTGGTCATTGATGATTAAATCTGCGTCAACATTTCCAGCTCTTGGGTTTGTGTTAGTCGCCATGAATTTGGTTTTATTTTGATTCATATGTAACCCCATTCGTTCTGCTGCTGCTACTAGCTCGGTTAGGATTTCCGCAGTTCTCGCTCTGGTTCTTGTTATAATGTCCACGTCGTCTGCATATGCTAGAATTTGGACTGATCTATTAATTATTGTTCCCTGCTATCTAAATTAGCGTCGCGTACAACATTTTCTAAGGCGACTTTGAAAAGCTGACACGCCAGCGCATCTCTCTGCCTTAACCCCCTATGTATTTATAATGGGGTTGACGAATCGTTTTGAATTTTTACTGCTGATAGCATCTTCGCCATTGTCACATTTATCAAACATATGAGTTTTTTTGGAATTCCTAACTCATTCATAGCGTTGTAAGGACTTGGTCTTAAGACACTGTCATATGCCGCTTTAAAATCGAGAAAAATATTATACATATCTATGTTAAACTCTTGCGCTTTTTTGAGGATTTGTCGTAGTGTAAAGATCTGGTTAATGGTTGAACGTCCACGCCTGAATCCTGCCTGATATTCTCCTAGAAACATTTCGGTATAAGGCTTCAATCTCTCGTGCAAAATGTTTGACAATATCTTGTATGCTGTATTAGTTATATATGAATTATGTTAAGGTGACTAATGATTGGTTACTGAGATAATAAAAAAATACTTAGTGAGATTACTTACTGAGATCAGTAAATTAAAAAAAAAGACCAAACCTCGAATTGAACTTTTAAGCCTCACTGTGCGTCCGCAGAGTCACAAAGAAATAGAGAGAGAGAGAGAGAGAGAGAGAAAGAGAGAGAAACAGATCAATAGAGAAAGTTATTTAACTTAACAATGACAAGTATGTAATTACAAACGATATCTTCTAATATTTGTAATACCAGACTTTATAGATGTATACAAATAAAAACTCACTTGGCAATGAAAAAAAAAAGAAACAGAAGATAATAAAAATTTACATTAAAATAAAAAAGAAACAATTACCTTTCTTGCATAACAATATTCTTTATCTAAAACTTCTGCAATACAAAAATGCTTATTAGGTTGTCCTTCGTTGACTTCTAGACCTAAACCTTCTAAATAATCAGAATGCACAAAATAGAGATGTTGCTTTTCTTGAACTACTCTAAAATTTTCGTGTTCTTTGTCCCAGCCGACGATCACTCGATCACCCGACTTACAACTTTCAACACTAAGCATTCCTTTAGGTGTTGGCTCACTTCTTTTGGATTCTTTCTGTTTTAGGATAGAACGCGTCGTGACGTCTACTTTACCTAAAAAAGTAAAAAAATCTTTAGGATTTTAAATACAACAGGAAAATATATATCATTTTGAGTGTGTGTGTGTGTGTGTGTGTGTGTGTGTGTGTGTGTGTGTGTACGCACGCGCGTGTATATGCAGAAGAAAGGGATGGTCTTGGCGATAGAATTTTTATATACGAGTATACACATTATATATCTCTGTATAAGTGCATACAAGGTTGAATATATTTATGTTCCCTGTTTGGCAACAGGGAATCAATTTTAAGGAAGAGAGGGGTGCTGCACACTCGGGGGAGTCTGTGACCCCCGGGAGAGCGAGTTCAATTGGCAGATCGGGAATGTCTCCCAGATATGGGTGGAATAGTGTACATTTTTTTTACTTTAAGTTTTTTTCTTTTATAGAATTAATTTCCTGTTCAATATAATATAAGTAACAACGATAATGCGTCCTATAAAATACGATAATTTGAACAGCATACTACATGCCTAATAAACGAATTGGTCTGGTGGCCCGGCCTACTAATATAGCTATATCGTTTTAAAAATGTTTCTTCAAGTTCCTCCCGTTGATAACGGGATGAATTATATTGTTACCATAAATATGACTCATAAGCTTAACTGTAAACATATTTTTCTAAGTATTTTTCTAGTAGGCAATATCCACGGGACCCCTACGCTAAAACCTGTTCCATGGCTTTCAAGATCATTCAGCAAGGGTCGCCGACCGAATTCTAGTGAACTCGAGAATAACGGTTGTTTTGTATAAATATAGAGGAACCTTTTATTTAAGGGACAGTTAGTTTTGAATTTCGAGTCGAGTCAGTCCGAAAATACAATTGTATCGAATTATTGTAACGCGGAAATGTAGTAGAATCGATAAATAGTGTAAAATAAATTAGTGTTAAACTGTATAAAATAGTGGAAATAAATTATTGTAAGACTATAATAAATTAATAAAGACTCTAATGAACTTGTAATTGTTGTAAAAGTGTAGAACCTTTTAAAATAAATAAAGACAATAAATTAGATTGATAATAATAGTACAATATGCTATACTGTGCATATATATATTTAGTTAAAACGAGATAAAAATTTAGGGCAACTTGCTTATTTGAAAACAATTTAAGTTTATTTTCTTACATTGCGCGTTCATCTTTAAACGATTTAAAGAGAGGTAAACTATATGGATCACTCGAACTATATTATATTATGAACATCTAATACTAATTAACCCATTAAGTATAAATTAAATAAGAAATCTTAATAATGTAAGACTTCTTATTTGTCAAAGTTTTCAAAAGTTTATTAATATATTACCTTCACAAAGAGCCACCGAAGTTGACATATCCACAGCCTTGACGTTCTGACTCCTACATTTTTCCAGCTCTTCTGCCAAGGCATCTTTCTCTTCTTGCAAAGCGTTAATTTTTTTTAAAAGTTCCACGTCACTACTCTCTATTTCGCTCTCAGCCAACTGTTGAATGGTACTTTTATATTTAATACATTCTAAATTCAGATTCTTTTCTCTTTCCATTAAAAAGTCGATTTGCTTATCTTTTTCCTCTGTTATTTTTTTAGCAAGATTTTGGAGCGAAATATCTTTTTCTTCCGAAAGTTTGGTTTCAGTTTCGCGTATCCTTATAGCCATGAGCTTTTCCCATTTCTCCCGTTCTTTAAGTAACGCTTCACTGACTGCTCGTTCTTTATCCATTTCAAACTTCTCTTTCATTTGCAATAACAAGGGAGAATTACTAGCTAAGTTGCTAAAATCTACAGATTTTTCCAAACTACTATCTGATGGACTTCTTTCCATGGTCATAAGTTTAAATCTAGATCTAATGCTTTCTATTTCAGCTTTATAATCTCTTGTCAGCCTATCCGTTGTTTCTTTCACTATTTTTTCTTTTTCTACATCTTTCTCTTCTAAAAGTCTCTGCAGATCTTCGATAGTTTTTGCATTTTCTTCTCTGAGCTTTTCCATGTTCGTATTTAGATCTTGACATGATAGTATTATTTCTCCTTCTAACGCAGATTTCTCATTAAATAAATCTTCTATTTGTTTATTTTGCATTTCTACTTGCTTTCTTAATTCACTAATGACATTCTCATAACTTTTTGTTATTACTTCAAGATTTTCTTTTTCTTGTTGCTGTTGTAAAAGTATAAGATTTGCCCAGGAACTATTTATTTTATCGCAATACTGACTAGCACTATCTTTGTTGGCTACAATCTGCGTTCTGAGGACTGCTTGTTCAGATCTGAGTTGTAGAATCGCGTCTCTGGCTAATTGGTATAATTTTCTTAACACCGTTTTTAATTTTTCATGCTCACTTCTGGATATTTGAAGATTTTCCTAAAAAATAGTTAAGATTGTTAATTTGTGCTCTTGTAAAGACCATATTTGATATATTAGAGCCAAAATTAAAGCCATATGAAAACTATTCAACGATTGAAGTAATGACTGTGAAAGTTGATGAAAGTGATTATTATGTACCACTCTAATTCTATCAGAAGCAAAAAATGACAAGTTCAAATGATTGGAACCTTAATTAATAAGGTATGTTTAATGTGTTAAAATGCATCTCATTTTAATGAAGCCAAGTAATAAATCATGATATGTGAAATTATAGTGAGACAAACCATAAAACAATGAATGGTGGAAAAATATTGTAATATTCTTTGGAATTAGAAAAAAAACCACAAGGGAGATTATCAAAATCAAAGCTAGTATTTATTTCAATTATCATATCTAAATAGGCCGTTTTAACAGAGATGATGTATACATTTATAATAAAATATATGTAATATTTTCCAAATTCATAGAATACATACACATATCGAAACGCATCAGTTGCATAAAGAACTAAATGCAAAAAAGGTGATAATGAAGTCACAAACAAAGTTTGCAAGTTCCTTGAATGCCATTTCTTAGCGCTATTTTACCTACAATTAACTACCAAAAAATACCTAGTTACCTATCCAAAATACAATTTACAGTAAATTACTGTGAAGTCGAACAACTAAATATGACATAAAATTAAAGATTAAATGATATGAATTAAGATTAAATAATAATAAGTATGGTCTAAAACTGAACATCAAAAAGACTAAATTCATGATTGTAACAAAGAAGCTATACACCAATGTGAATTTAACCATAAATAATCAGCCAGTTGAAATAACGTCCTACAAATATTTAGGGGTTTGCTTCACTGATACTAATGACCAGACAAGAGAAATCAAGAGGCGAATAGAGATAGAGAGACAATCGTTTGTCAAAATGAAAAAGTTCCTATGCATCCGGGACATAAATATAAACTTAAGAACGAGAATATTAAGGTGCTATGTTTTCTCCGTCCTACTGTACGGCATGGAAGCCTGGACTCTGAAAAAGATAAACATAAAAAACATTGAGGCATTCGATATGTGCTGTTACAGGAGAATGTGGAAAATATCATGGACAGAAAGAGTAACAAATCAAGATGTTCTGCTGAAGATGGGGAAGGAATGCGAATAATAAAAACCATACAAACGAAAAAACTGGAATATCTGGGCCGCATAATGAGAGGAGAAAAGTACTCTTTGCTTAGTTAGACTCATAACCCAAGAAAAAATCTCGGGAAAGAGAAATGTGGGACGTAGGAGGATTTCCTGGTTGCGAAATTTAAGGGAGTGCAGTTCAATACAGTTGTTCAGAGCTGCAGCCAACAAAGTAAAGATTGCTGTGATGGTAGCCAACCTCCGATAGGAGACGGTACTGCAAGAAGAAGAAATATGCTCTCAAATGCGGCCAATATAGAAAACATACTTTATATCGGCAGGAGGGCTACGTTAGTTTAGGAGCGAATGCGAATACGGTATCATCAATACCGCTGTGCAGCTAATAACATTCTCGTGTAAAAAAGGAAAGTTTTCATGTGTTAATGAGAAAGTGTTTATCAAAAGTTATTATTCCGATTTTTGATTACCGGAAGTTTAGGTAGTTTATCGATTGAAAATAGACTCAATCATATACAAATATCAATTAATATAAATACAAAACTCAGTCGTTAATCCTTACTCCATTATGTCGTTTAGGTGATGGTGTTGGACATGCGTATAAGGGAGGTATCTAATCCAATTTTATCGAAAAGTAAACAATAATGAAATTTTGAAGTCGATAATACCAGTTCCGCTAAAATGATCATTCAGAAATCAGGCTAATAAAGATGATAATTTAAAACCATTATACTTCTTCTTTCAGTGCATATCTATTAAAGAATGTTCTCAATTATTCTAACAAAAATAATTTATTTATGGCTGGTGTGAATATGCGTATGGTGGATTTTGCAAACCATTTGCTTTTCTTTAGCACATCTTCTGCTCACGTCTCTCTCACCCTGAATGTATTTCAATAACTTATACTTGGTTTTATTTCTCATAGTATTACTGAAATATTCTAATTTTTGACGTTTTATTGTGAAAATTATTTCCTTTTCTTTATTGTTTTTAAACTAACTACCTCATACAAATAGATAGAGAATATGCATCATGGAAGAAATTTGAGATTAAATTTTAAATTCCAATTATGCGTTCCAATTACTGCAGAGTATGTGTAAAATAATTTTTTGCATTCAACTCCTTTTATAGATATATGAAAATAAAAATATATATATATTTTCATTAAAATATTGATACAATCCTTCATTGACTATACTCCTATTACAGGTCAAATGTTTATATACAGCAAACGATGCACCATATACCTATATAACTAATTCTTTTTCTCTTTCTGCTCTCTCTTACATATAACTAATGATTGTGCAGATTGACTCCCATATAAATTTGTAACGGCGAACGCGTGTATAGAAGTATAAGTTTTACCGGCAGTCCCACTGGACTGCCACACCCGTTTTGTTTCATTGTATTATTCCCATCTTTAATATAATTTAACTAATTTGTTTAATAATAACTATATTCATTTTATCATTGGCAATTTGCTATTTTCTATTTAATATTGTAATTATTTTCAATCTTCAAATGGCAAGGAAATATTTTAAAGTCTATGAAGTTGCTAACACATGGTTAAATTTTCTAGTTTTTTTTTTGCCAAACTTTTGTTCATTTTTTTGGGTGAGGAATTCCACAACACATGGTCGACCATGAAGTATTAACTGTTGTTATTTGGAACCCAATGGCTACCTGAGGATCTGTAGAACATGAAAATAATTACATCAGAAACTAACTTGCTACAGCTACTTGAAGACAACATCTTAAGCCATACTTAAGTAGGTATCATTTAAAAATCTTTTTATTGTAAAGCTATAGGCAAGATTTATTTTGTGATTTTGTTCGATTTTATTTTCATATTAAAATTTTCAATTTTTATATTTATTTATGTACAATAAATATGATTAGTTAATATCTTAGTTTATTTGTCATAGCCAAACTCATTGTTCAGGTTTACTACTAAGATAAGACATTATCATACCTGAGAGACCGAGCTTAACGAGGCCTAACAATTTTGGCTCCCAAAGAAAGTTATCAGTTTTATTGAAAGGCTATAGCGGGATAAGATGGTCGAAATTGCACCATGCTCGATTTAGTTTTGGGCCTGGCCATTCGAAAGAACATAATTAAAAACTCACTCAGTTAAATTTTCAAGTCGTTAGGTGCCTCTGGGGGTTAAAAAAATTAAAAAAAAAAAAAAAAAATTTAGACGCTGTATTGCTACAAAAAATCTGAAAAAATTCATGAAAGCGTAGTTTAATAATACAATAAATACTTTTACTAGATTTTTTTCAGATTTTTAGCTTGAAAATTGAGCCAACTGAAAAATATTTGAAATTTTCAGTAATATTTTAGGTTATGTCGGACATTTTTGGCCAACTTTAAAACAATGTTTTTTTATGGGTTTTTTCCCGTTCTTTCGAATGGCATAGGTATTATTATCATTTTCAATGTGGAAAATGTGTAAAAATCGAAAAAAACTGCTTTTTTTGGCATTTTTCTGAAGCACCCCCACCCCTTAACAATAAATTGTATGGGTCTAGGAACAAAACAAAAAAAATAAGTATTACATAGAAAACAAAAAAATTATTACTACTGCCATAAGATACAATAATATAAGTTTTTATAAAATAAAACAAAATATTAATAAAATAAACATAAATTAGGTTTTTTAGTGAGATGGATGACTCATAACCTTAACAACATACATCTAAATTAATGATAATTCATATTTTTATATGTATTCTTACCTTAACAATCGAAATAAGCTATTAAAACCATTATTTTTTTCCTAAAGCATGCTAAAAAAAAAACGAAAAACCCCGTTTTTTCGGCGTTGTTTTTAAGCTTTCGCTATATAACCTCTAAAGTCAGTGTCTAAATGAATGGTAATTTACATTTATGTACCTTTCCCTGTACATGTATCTTTCCCTTTACAATCAAAATCAGTTATTCAAAGCATTAGTTTTATCTCATAACTTTCTGAAAAACCGAAAAACCCCGTTTTCTCCATGTTTTTACTACATAACCTCAAGAGACTCTGAAAAATGAATCGTGAATTAGAACGCACTTGTACACTCAAAAGTTGTGGAATTTAAAGCTAGCGAATATATCTACATAATATACGTGATATTATATCACAATGAACATGCATTTATACACAAACGCATATCTATATATTTCCATTACTTTTGAGATTCTTGTTATATAAATTCATAAGCTCGTACCATGCTCGTCCATGTCTTACTCTTCCGCTTAGATACAGGAGCCTTATACCCATGCTTATATTATTATTATTATTTTATTTTATATGTACTTAACTCTTTTGGCCTTCATGTCTTAGCCCGACATCCCGCATATCCAGGGAGCCTGATTGTAACAGAAAACATAGCGTTGATAGTTGCGCCACACGGTAGTTGATATTAGGCTGCGCAACTACCAACGCCATGTATATAATATGATATAATCAGGCTCGCATTATATATTGCTCTTAGTGCGTTTGCGTGTGTAGGGCCATATCCTCTGTATCGCTCTTAGTCAGTTTGCGTGTTAGGGCCTTTATCTTTTCGGCGGGGCTTTTCCTCAAATGTTGAATAGCTCTCTGTTTTTGTGTTTATTTTTAATTTGACAGCAGAATTATGTCGTGTCTAAAATAACAAGCAAGAATAACCAGTATTATTGTTTTATATTGTTAAGCAACAAATTCTTTTTTTACTATAACGTCAACCCTATGCATTGTGGTTATTTATTGGTCGGAGGTTAATAGTAAAGTAAACATCATAATGAAAGTTCACGAAAGCCAATGCTGTATTTTTATTTACACTGTGTTTCGACGTTCTGTTGAATAGCTCTTGCTACATCTTT